GCTCGGCAGTGGAGCTGCAAGGCCGGCGGCGGCCGGGACCGTTGGGGGCGGGTTGTGTGTGGCCTTATGACACACTTCTGGTGATGTCAGGGGGTGTGGCCTTATGACACTTCCGGTGATGTCAGGGGGTGTGGCATATGCTAATGAGTTATGCTAATGAGTTCCCCTAGCTCTTTTTCTACAAAACGACCCCTGATTGGTGGTTTATTTTTGCTGCGTGTTTTGGGCGGAAGGGCCGGATCGGGGACGGGTGCGCAACGCTTCCCAGATGTTGCGGTGGGATCGCGCCCGTTTGCTGCGCCCCCGATCCGTCCCTCTCCCGGCCCAAAACCTCTCGTGTGACCGGGGCCCGAGTAGACAATAGCGACCTTGATGGATTCAGTAGAAGGCAGCTTCGTGTGCTCCTCCAACAGATCATCCAACGGAGAATTGGGCTGCGATCATACGCACAATTAGACCCGACGTAGGTGCGAATGCCAGGCAGATTTAAAGGGTGTGATCAGAGAACAGCATCTGGGAAGCGCCCCGCAGCCATCAGCAACGCATTCTGCTCCGCCAAAGCGGAGTTAAAAGACATCGAGGAAAATCTGGTAGTAAACGGATTGCGATGGGCCACGGACGGACTTTCCCCTGTCTGATCGCTCCAACGGACTCTCATGGCATCGGAATGGTCCGATCAGGCCATCCCGACTCCGTGCCGTTGTCTCCCCCCCCCCTTCGCAGTATTGCAAACTCCACACGGAGCCCTCGGTGCAGAGGTGCTATTCATCGATCCCTTGTTTAAGCACATGGGGGGAAAACAGCACAAAAAAAAGGACTCACCCGCTGTTGTGTCTGATCACACACTGACGGACTGCGCCTGCAGCTTCACCAGGAGGCGTGATTGTGCAACTGCGGGTCGAATTCCTCTGGAGGAGATAGCCTCACTCCCCCCCCCCCCCCCAGTTTTTCCTGGCGCGTGTGGCAGGAACCATAGATTTGTTTCTAAGGCCCTCCCTGTAGTATTCCAGATGAATCCTTGACTCCCAACTGCAGAAGTGTCCTCTGCTTCCTTGAAATGTGAAGGTTTGCTTGCTTCTTAAATGCCCTTGAAGTTGAGACGCCCGTGATCTATTTAGAAGCGTAGCGGCATATTTAAGCCTGAACATTTATTGAGATCAGCGTCCTATCTGAATGTGGTATTCCGTATGACTTGTTGTCAAGCACTTCATGAATACAGAGAGCTTTTGTACTACTTTAATATCTCCTGTTGGGAGCCAGTTTGGTGTCGTGATTAAGTGCACAGACTCTGGGAGAACCGGGTTTGATTCCCCACTCCTCCACTTGCACCTGGCTGGATGACCTTGGGTCAGTCACAAGCTCTGGCACAGCTGTCCTTGAAAAAGAGCAGTTTGTGTCAGAGTTCTCTCAGCCCCACCCACCTCACAGGGTGTCTGTTGTGGGTAGGGGAAGGGGAAGGAGTTTGTAAGCCACTCTGAGACTCCAAGTGAATGGTGGGGTATAAATCCAATCTCTCCTCTTCTTCTTCTTCTTCCTAAGGAAGATCCAGTTTTGAAACGTTATATAATCCGGAGCCGACGTTGATGATGTACCTGTGCACAATGATTTTCTTATGAATTATTAATGATCTTGTAGTGCTTTAGATTACAATACATCAGAAGCTTTTTTTTTGCAAGTCCTGGTGGCTGCTTGATTTGTGGGTCAGACTCTCAAGACTGTTGTCTTTATACTTATTTTCTGATTGGGTCGTGTTTGTCCATATTTATCTTGAAGTTGTTTAACCATAGTGGGAGTGGCCGGTTCCTGTTCCAAATACTTCTCGGCGCCCTTTTCGCATCTCCTTGCCTTTAGAAGAAGGCACTGAACTTGGGGGAAACAATTTAGCTGTCATTCGAGAGTCAAATTAACTTTGCTACCAACTGTGTTGACAATTGAACATTCCTGAACATTCCCTGTTTGAACTGCTGCCTTTGGGCAGAAGATATAGGACAATTAAAGCAAGGACAAATAGATTAAAAAATAGTTTTTATTCGAGAGCTGTTATGGCCTTAAATGCTGTATGGAATTGGAATTTGGGTGGCATTGGTGGTTTTAAGTTGTTATGTGAACCTTAAGGGAGTTATGGGACAGTCGTGAATGGTGTGTGAGTGTATATGAATATTGTTGTAGATCACCGAAATGATAGCATATTTAATTTCGTTGTACTATGTACAATGACAATAAAGTATATTATTATTATTATTATTGTTGTTGTTGTTGTTGTTGTTGTTGTTATTAGGGCTGCAAGGTGTTTGAGTCAGGAGTGGACTCCCAAGACGACACACTCCATTCAGCTCATGCAGACTAGCCTTTCTAAGTAAAGCAGTCCTCTTTGCCAAGTTTGTCTGACGTCATCTTAAGACGTATGCTTTTAATTTGCAGGAGCCCGAGTCAATGCCAAGGACAACATGTGGCTGACCCCCCTCCACCGAGCCGTTGCTTCGAGGAGCGAAGTGAGTGATATATCCAACGCATCATGACCTTGTGCAATACGTCTGTCATATAATTCACTGGAAAGCTGAAAATCATTTCCGGGTAGCTAAGATTACGACCACTTGTCCCATATCTGTGTTCTAGCAGTTGGTTGCATTACAGTTTAGATTTCAGCAAAGTAATGAAACCAAAAGTAAAGACTCTGCAATCTTTAATTTGAGATCCACGCGCAGCTCAGAATTGTCACCATCCCACTTGGCAGAAAAGAAAGTGTCACGAATCCCATCTGGCTGCTGTTGAATGGTTGCGAGCAGCCAGTCCTGGGTCAGTCATGCCAGTCGCCTGCTAGCAAGGAGGCTGCTGCTGGGCCTGGCCCCAGTGAGTCCTCCCAGAAAGGCGAAAACAGCCCTGATGGAAACCAGGGCTTGAAGGCTGGCAATAGTGTCACAGTTGCCTAGCAAAGGCCACTGAGGGTGCTTGCTTGTTAAAGCTACATGTGCTGCTGCTATTCTTTGGCGGTCTACCTTGGGTCCCAAGGGCTCTGCCAGTCATCAGCTCTTCTTTCTTGTCACATGTTGCCTTAAGTCTGTCACTCTTAACCACTATGCCATGCTGGCTCTCTAGCTCTTAGCCAGATACTCTGACCACTACAATGTGGCCCCGGTCACACGGGCTGGAAAATGCGCGGGGGGGAAGCGTGGCTGTTTGCCCCGGAGCAAACGAATGCGCGGCCACCGGATCACACATCCCGCCGACGTCCCGTGGTTTGGGGAGAGGTGCCGATCACACGACAATCCTGCGGCGCGCCAAAGAAGTGGCGCAGTGCGATCACAGCAGCAATGGCTAGGCACTGCTGCCATGGCAAACGGGGTTGTTGTTTTTTTTAAACTGAAGTGTGCGCATGCGCTGTTGGGTGCTTGTGCACATCCCGTGGAGACTTTGGGGGAAAAAAACCTTTTTGCGACGGGACATGGGCGGGGGCTGGATGCCACGAACTACCACCGGAAACGTGACCAGACGCCCGCCCTTGCCCCGTGGTTTCCGGAAACTAGTACCTTGGCGGTACTAGTTTTTTACGCTGCATCTTTGGCAGGAAGCCTCGGGTTCGCCACGGGAGCTCTACACTTCCCAGATGTTGCAGTGTGATCGCGCCTGGAAAATCCATCTATCTTCCGTCTCTGTAGCGTGGCTAATGCTCCGTGTGACCGCAGCCTGTATTGACTTTCCCAAGAACATGCCGTGAGTCGGCAGGGCACGTGAGATTTGAATCAAGGTCTTCCCATGTCACACACAGCCACTGCGATAGCTTTCTAGACCACAGTATTAGCCGCGTGCTCAAATGTGCCGAATGCAGTTCAAGGTGGGCTTGAACCGAGGGCAGCCAGCAAGCTAGGAAAGACAGGGAGCTTTGCAAGAGCATTGATCCGAAAGGAATAAATCCCTCTGACTTGCTTACACGTTGGAGGAATAAACCTTGAAAAAGAGCTGAAAGATCAGTGACTTTGACTCACCGGCTATTCCAGGACGACTGCTCACATAAAATAATAGTAGGGTTGGTATTTTTGATGGGGAGGTGTTTCCAGTTCCACAAGGAAACGTGGTCAGCTTCATAAGAAAGTCGGCTGCGGGGAATGACTGAAATACTCAGATGTTTTTGTATAATCCTCCCCTGAACTTCTTGTTTGTTGGTTTTTATATAAACCACCCTGACCAGGGAAGGCCAGCCTAACAAGTTGAATTTAATAAATAACAATAATACACAACAAATTGGACAGAAGGAGGTCTAAAAATGAATTAGGTGAACAAAATAACTAAGGGGAAAGAGCCAGAGTCCGGTAGCACCTGAAAGACTAACAAAATTTGTGGCAGGGAGGAGCTTTTGTGAGTCGCGGCTCACTTCTTCAGATCCCTTCTGCAAGTTTCTTCGTAAGGTTGATGGATTTCCATTCTGTATGGTTAATAAGAACACAAGAGAACATAAGAGACGCCAATGTTGGATCAGGCCAAAGGCCCATCCAGTCCAACACTCTGTCACACAGTGGCCAGAAATACCAGGTGCCATCAGGAGGTCCACCAGTGGGGCCAGGACATTAGAAGCCCTCCCACTGTTGACCCCCCCCACGCACCAAGAAGACAGAGCATCACTTGCCCCAGAGCCCCTATCTATACCTTGTGGCTAATAGCTACTGATGGACCTCTGCTCCATATGCCTATCTGATTCCCTCTTGAAGCCGTCCATGCCTGTAGCCGCCACCACTTCCTGTGGCTGTGAATTCCAAGTGTTCATCACTCTTCTGTGGAGAGAAATCCAGATGGATAGCCGCATTAGTTTGTCTGTAACAGCAGAAAAGAGCAGGAGTCCAGGAGCCCCTTGAAGACTGACAGGATTTGGGGCAGGGGAGGAGCTTTCCTGAGTCATGGGTTTGATTCCCCACTTCTCCACATGCAACTGATGGTGTGACCTTGGGACAGTTACAAGTTTTTTCAGAGCTGTTCTCTCAAGGGCAGTTCTCTCAGAGCTCTCTCAGCCCCACCTACGTTAGGAGGGAAAGTTGTATATTCCATGTGAAACATACTCTGCGCAGACAGAAAACTAGCTTGTCATCGTGGAGAATTCAGAACAGGCTGAAGTCCAACCTTCCGCTCTTTCAGGAGTAAATACGTAGATGGTGGTCGTCACCAGTGTTCCCTCTAAGCTGAGTTAGTGTGAGCTAGCTCACAGTTTTTTAGCCTCCAGCCCACACATTTTTGTCTTAGGTCAGGAAGGAGGGCTCCAGAGCAAACTGGTTTATGCAGTAACCAAATCAATTGCTCACAACAAAGTTTAATTCTAAGCTGGGGTCATTTCCTGCAGGAGCGCCCAGGAGCAGAGCTCCAGCAGTAAAGAGCCCAGGGGGCGGGCACATGCAACAAGCCCCACCCCCTGCTCCCAGCAGCCCTCAGTCAGAGCAAGAAGCAGCCAGGTAAGTTGCAGAGCCCCCCCCCTGGTCCAAAACAGTCCAGTGGCACCTTTAAGACCAAGTTTTATTCCGGTACCAGCTCTC